TAATTTTCCTACAAAAAGATGGGTCATCTACCGTCGGAAAAGTATCAAAATAGAAAAGTCACCTTTAACTCGACTTTGAGTCAATGACATAGGATAGAGTCACAGGACAAAACCGAAAGGGTAACGTGTAGCTCAACCACAGGATGGAGAGGAGGGACGGAGAATTTTAAAGTAGTAAAACTTTGGTTGGGGTCAAGATTTGCCTTTAGAGCAACCCAGGGACGTGTAGACGGGCAATGTGTGAACCGACCTTTTTTAAAGCTATTTTCATGAAAGCACTTTTTTTTTCAAATCCTCACTTTTCTTCCCCCCAAACAGATTCCATTCAAAAAGCCGAATAAGACGGCAAAGCTGTGCCATTGTTTTGAAAAAATAGGATCGCTTCCACTTTTTTTTTCTGGAGGGGGGGTGGAGATGCAGGGTTAGACCCTGGCAAAATTAGTCGGCGACAGACACCCTGGGGAGAGAGGGACGGTCTGAAATAAGAAACAACTTCCTTTTTTTTTTTTGGCCCCAAACTTCATGAGTACTAGCGCTTTGGTGGACCGATTCCCCCCCCCACACACATCCAGGTCCTGCGTGGGTCTAAAGAGCGAGAATCAGAATCGAGCTGGAAGGGACCTTGGAGGTCTTCTAGTCCAACCCCCTGCTCAAGCAGGAGACCCTGTACCATTCCAGACAAGTGTCTGTCCGGTCTCTTCTTATAAAACCTCCAGTGATGAAACAGCCACACTTTCTGACGACAAACTGTTCCACTGGTTATCATATTGGGGGGCGACTGCAAGGCCCATCATCCTCAGCTGGGACGGGAAAAGAGAGTAGGCAGGGTCTTAGCAGCCCCCACGTTCCCACCTCTACGCTGGGGAAAGATAAGAGGCTGCGGGGAGGATGCAGACGAAGCAGCTTCGGTTCCGGGGAACAGATTCAAGCCCACCCCCCTTTTCTGGCCCCTCCTCTCCCTTTGGCTCCGCCCCCGCCTCTGCTCCCTCCTCTGCCCCCCCTGTCCCCCCCCTCCTCCGTGTCCGCCTCGATGCCTCCGCCCGTGATTTTGCTCCGCTGCGCCCTGGCGCTTCTCCTCCTGGGTCTGGGGGTCTCCTCTCCCCCCAGGGAGGGGGAAGGGGAATCCCCGGGCAGGGGGGAGGGGGAGGAAGAGGAGGAGGAGCTGCCCACCGTGGTGGTCGCCATCCTGGCCCGCAATGCCCA